CTCTCTCTCTCTCTCTCTCTCTCTCTCTCTCTCTCTCTCTCTCTCTCCCCCCATCTCGCTCTGTGTATGTGAAAGCAGACACAGACCACAACACAAGTGGAGATCAGAAGACAGCCAACAGGCATCAGTTCTTGTCTTCTACTTTGTTTGAAATATGTTTTCTTGCTGGTCACTACTCTGTACACCAGGCTAGCCCATGAACCTCCAGGGATTCTTGTCTATCTGTGCCTCTTACCTCCCTGGAAGAATGCTACCACATCCAGCCATACCATTTGAGTTTCAAGGATCCAAACTTGGGTGCTCAAGATGCTCCCATAGCAAGCACTTTCCCAGTGAGCCACTCCCCTGAGTCGCTCTGAGACCAGTCACACTGTGCTTTGGCTGGCTTCAAACTCATTCACTGTTTCAGCCTCCCACGTGCTGGGATTAAAGGTATAAGCCACCATGCTTTAAAACAGTCTTGTGGGCAGTAATGGTGCCACACACTTTTAATCTCAGCACTTGGAAGGCAGAGAGATAGGAGGATCTCTGAGTTTGAGGCCAGCCTGGTCTACAGAGTGAGTTCTAGGACAGCCAGGCAGGGCTACAGAGAGAAACTCTGTCTCAGAAAACAAAAACAAAACAAAAGTGATAGGGGCTAGAGAGTGGTTAAAAGCATAGCATGTGATGTTCTTGCAAAGGACCCAGGTTTGATTCTTAGCACCCACATAGAGGCTCCCCACCTACCCAGGCACCAGGACACATGTGGTACGCAGACATACATGCAGACAAAACACTCATTTAAAAAATGAAGGAAAAAACCCAACAATGCTGTGTTTTAAAAGGGGGGAAAAGGCACGAAAATAAGGAGCCTGGGAGCTGGGAGGCCAGGAGCAGGAAGGGCGTGTGAGAGGTCTAGAGGCAGGGAGGAAAGACAGTGCATGGCAGAGATAAGGCAGGAGGCCTTTCCCTGAGAGACCTAGGTGGGAGCAAGGTCAGCCTGTGGGTGTCAATGAGCTTATCCTGAACCATGTAGGAGAGCAGTGCATGCCACCAGAGGGAAAACAGGTGAGAGAGTGGGAGTCAGCTCCCCAGAACCCGACACTCTGATTAGGGAGCCAGGGCTGGGGAAGGGAATAGAAGAGATACTCGTGGCAGGCAGGTAAGGCACAGGGTACCTAGATGACCTGCCAGGACAGCGCCATCTCACGTGTTAAACTTCAGACAAGGCAAAACCAGGCCATTGATACCATTGCCCAGGGTGCCACAGAAGGATTTTACATTTTAAAACATTTTAATAAAATTAACCAATAAATATTCTAAATCACACAGACTAAAGGATAAAGAGTAGAGGCCAGAGAGACAGTCTCTTCCAGGAAGGACCCTGGTACGGAGCTGGGACTGCTGACCTGGGGAGGGGCAAACGGTGGTGGAAGGGTTCTGAGCTTTTGTAGTCTGTCCCTCTCTGGCATAGAGGAGGCAAAGAACAAAAGGCCTCGGGGGAAGCAGTGACCTTCAGGAGTAAGGGGAGAACTAGCTTGTAAGATAGATGGACATGGGAGGTTTGTGGCCTGTAGCGGTAGTTCTTGGACCCGTAGGCACTCACTCTCGGACGTAGACCCTGGTACACACAACGTCGTCTGCTGTCATGGTCTGTAAGGATAGAGGTAGTTAGCTGGTGAAGCACCTGGGCACCTGGCTTTTAAAAGAGGGAGGGTTCGGGAGGTCGAGTGTTTTTACTTCCAAGCTCAAACAGGCAAGATCAGATTCGAGAATTTCGGGGTGTCATTGCTGGGGATCAAGCAGAAACCCACTTCCTCCTGGAGTCAGAGGCAGTCAGGAATAGCCTGCTGGAAAACTCTGGGCTCCTCTGGGCACATGTATGTTGCACCCAAAAGGGTTAGCATTTCCAAACAGCCTCCATCAGGAGGTTGAGGGGAGTAGCCACGGCTGCTTTTAAATCTGCTGAAGGCTGGAGCCCGGCACAGAATGCTGAAGGCAGAGGGTTCTTCAGGAGATGAGATGGGGCAGGGCTTACCAGGATCAGCTCTCCATCATTGGTCAGTTCTCGGCTCCAGGAGGTCTTGGGGCCCTCCCCCTTCAGAAGCCTCTGCTCGCACACCATTTTGTTTTCACTCTCCCATTTCACCAAACTCTGCAAGAGACCAGCGGCCAAGGAGCTCACAGTAAGAGCCTGTGTAAGTGAATGGAAGAAGAGGCAGACCCCTTTCCAGCACCCTAGGGACTCCCTCATGAGAGGGAAGAGTCTAGGGAAGCTAGAGACTGAGAGGCATGGTGAGTAGGTGCTGTGACGTGGAGGGGACCCTCCCTATCCCTCACCTTACAGGGTCTCCCATCCACAGTCTGCTCCTCAAATTCCTCCCCAATCTTGAAGTTAATCTCCGTGGTTCGCACAGTGGTGGAGGTTTTGATGTAGAAAGTGTCGTTCTCCTGTTTGATCTCTACGGCTGGCTTGGAAGCTGCAGCCACAGCGATCTTCCTCATCATCATGTTCACCCCTGCAGGGAGAGAGGAATGGCCCTGTCACCCCTGCCACTAGACAGCTGGAGCAGCCCCTTCTGAGCCCTGATGACCTGTGGGGGGGAGAGGGTGGTAGGGCAGGGGTGATGATTAGGTAGGAGGCGTTGATAGGCTATAAATTGAAGGGGGAGAGAGAGGGATCCAGGTGAGGCAGAGGCTATATAGCCCCACCGTGTTGCGTCAGTAGGTGGACAGGACTCCCCAAATTCCAGAAACCCATTTCTAGCACCCTTAGGGGCAACTTCCCCCATGGGCTACTCGGTGTGTTGTTTCTCTCTCTGGTCTCTCCCCGATGGGTGTGAGACCGTTGAGGTAGGCTTGGTGGTTACTAAGTTCCCTGTGCCCACTTGCAGAGTAGACTAGGCAAGCAGATTGTTTCCCTCTCTGTTCCAGCTACCTACCCTGTCCTGTTAGGTCTCTACCCTGTTAGGTCTTTATTTGCACAACCCCTGCCCCTCCCCAAACTGAGGAGCAGATTCTCTGCAGAGGAAGATACAGGTGAGAGCTGGGTGACCCTGAGCTGGAGCTTTTCTTGGCTTCAGATCCCTCAACTGTCAAATGGAAACAATAGCTTCTCCTAACTGTCCTAACACTCCATGTTTAAGAACATATGATACACAAGGCCAAGCACATATTCATATTTTCTGGAAACATTTTTTTTAAAAGATAAAAACAAGTACAATAAATGAAAGAGCTACAACCCAGCAGGGCATGGTGGTACACAATTTTTTGGGAGGCAGAGGCAGGGGTAATCTCTGAGTTCAAGCTCACCAGCCTGGTCTACAGAGTGAGTTCCAGAACAGCCGGAACTACACAGAGAAACCCTGAGTCGTCAAAAAAAAGCCAGAGCATAGTGAAACCCATTATTACATGCAGGTAATATATGCTAATAAAAAGAAAAAGCCGAAACTATGTTTGGACAAAGTTTTCTGCACCAGACTGCTTTCTGTAATATTCCCAGGTCTCTTTCAAGGGAAAACTGCTGTCCGGAGAAGAGGAAAGGGGAAGGAAGGATGGGAGTGTCTTGCTCCCTCTCTGATGCCTCTAGCCTCAAGATTCATCCAAGGGCCTTCCCACTCAGCTTCTGTGTATTTAGAGTCTCTGTGTCCTCATATACTTTCCCTTCCCTGCCCCCACCCAAGTTATAAAGAGGACCCTGTAAATGGAAGAGAGCACCCCTCTGCTGGGACACCAGAAGGTAGGGGCAACCAACATGAGGCTCTACCCCCACCTCTCCAAGCCTGGTGAGGTGAAGGAGAACTAGCCCTTCAAAGTGTTACATGGGACAAGCCCCTGCCACTGTGCTACCCCCCCCCAAATACTCATGCATACCATAGCCCATAGCTCTGGGTTCCTGAGAAAACTGACACTTCACTCAACCCCAAAGCTGACTCACCCAGTCTCAACAGAAAGACCTGCAGTGTTTGCCCTGATTAACATGGCGAGCCTCCTCTATACCATGGACCCTGAGCAGGGACTGTGGAGTCTTTGGAGGATGTGTTCAGAAGAACCCTGCCTCCCCCAGTCCTTGGTGCCTGCAGAGCTGGGGTCCTGGCTCAGCTGACCTTGGCTGACACAGGCAGTTTGTGTAACAACCGGTCTGTTTGCAATCTACCCCCTAGCAAGTCGCGTGGCTCAGAGAGACCCTGCAGGGAGGACAAACATTCATGAAGGCAGACAATAGGCTTGGGCTTTTCCCTCCAGCTGGAACCTGGGGGTGATGCCAGGCTCCCAGATCCACTGCGGAGAGGGGCCAGAATTCAGAGCAAATGGAGGAAATGGCAATAGATTTTCTGAAAATTCCTATTCTTTGATCTTTAATGTCGCAAGGGCGGAGCAAGAAAAATGGGTACGACTCTGAGAATCATTGCGGTTAGCTGACACAAAGAGAATGAACAGCAAGGAAAGATGAGAACGGAGGCCCTACTTCCCTCGCAACATTCTTTTTAGCTCCACTCATTCTTGTATAGTCCCTAGCTCTTCAAGGTATCCCCTGCTTCCCCCAACAGGGGCTCCTTTCCAGTGCAGAAATGGAAGGCATGCTGACCCTTAGGCTCTGGGGTAGTTTCCACTCCCTGGGGTGGTTAATTCCATCTCTCCTCGGATGTCTTTCCTTTTCTATACCTTCTAGCCCAGTCCCATCCTAGAGGGTAATAGAAAGTGGGCAGGGAAAGTCTGGGTGGATTCTGCATTCCCACCCTTGGCTAACAGCCCAGTTGCGAAGGGTGCAGCTGGTCTGTGGCTAGGAGGGAGGCAATCCTAGACTTTCGGAAATGGGATTGGTGTTTCACACGAGGACATTTGTTGAAATCCAAGAAAGTGGTAATTGTCCAGAGCGATTTTAGGGCTTTGGAACCGGTTGCTGTAGGAAAATATTTGTCTCACAGGTGGGGGTGGGGTGGGGAGACTAGAGTGGGAAGTGCAAGGTGTGGGGGAGGGTCTGGGAGCTGAAGTGGTGGACCACCTGGTGGGCGGAGCCAAGTGTAGAGGGTAATAGACCTGTGGCTGGGATTGAGTTACGGTTAGGGTACGTGGAAAGAGCTTGGAATGTCTCCTAGGGGCTCCCTGCAGAGATATCCAGGCAGGGATACTGGATTCTCAAAGCTGAGAGCCAGGTGCCCTGGTCAGCAGGTCCAGGCGCCGAGGCTAGCCAAACCCTCCTGAGACTAACCTCGTGTTTCTGGTTTCTACTTGATTCACAGGCTCTGAGTCACTGTTGAAGCTGGCACTGGTGGGCACCCATCCTCAGAAAGTAGGATTTCAGAATCTTGGGTCTGGTGTCCCAGGACCCAGGGTATCTGGCACGCCCCTTTTCTGGGATGCAGACTCCCAGGCACCCACTCCCTAATTCAGTCTCCTTTCGATTATTCGGCCTCAGCTCCAAAGACCCCAGCGCCCTTTTTGCCCCCCTTCCCAAGTCACGAAAGCCTCCTTACCCAGAGCTTTTAGCATTTCCTCAAAGTTTTCCGATCGGATGATCTTCCAGTTGCCAGAAAAGTTAGGCATAGTGGCAGCAAGGTGGCTTTCTCTTTAGATCTTCAACTAGAACACTAGACGCCGAGTCCTTTAGCCTAAAGATACCTTGCTGTCCCCTTTGGAGAACAGATCCTTCCACCTGGGGACCAAGCCGCGTGGAGGACAATTGCACAGCCGCTGGGCGCCAGAGCTCTAGGCTTTTATACCCAGCTGGTGCATGAGGCGGCCCCGCCCCCGCCCCGCCTTCCACACCACCTGGGGGCCCTACTCTGTGACCACTTCACCCCCATCCTTTCCGGAATCCCGCCTGTTTCTAGAAATGTGGGTGGGTCCAGAGTTCTCCAAGGGCCAAGATACCCTTCTCCCGCAGCAGTAGGCGGACCGGGAAGCATCAGAAGACAAGAACGGGGTTTGTGCCTCTGGCAAGAACAGGGCACCGCTCGCCTGGGTCATGGATGCTCCGGTCTCTCAGCCTGCAGGGTGAACACAGGTCCCGTTTCACCAGTTCCCTATTAGTCCTCTACCAGACTTGGTGCTCTGGACAGCTCGGCGCCAGACATCTGGAGACCCCATTCAGCCAAGAATTGGGGCCCCCAGCAACCGGCAGTCAAAATGGACCCAATGGAACAGTTCGGAGTTTTTATGCGTTCCTTTGGGTGACTGGGAGGTGCCGCTCTGCTCTCCACCTCTTGACTCAGCTCTGGGTTCGAGTAGTGCCTGGAGACGCCTGAAGTGAGCACAAGGCAACCCATTCATTCCTCTCCAAGCACTGGACGGACAATGAAGGGTTAAGCCGGAGCCCCAGGCTAGAGGCTAGAAGGGCAGAGGTCACAGCCAATCACTTGACACGACTCTTTATTAAGGCGCTTTCTCTGTGGCTACGCTTCCCTGGGCCCCCTGGGCTAAAAGGAGGGGGTAGAAGATGCCAAGCGCCCCCCTGGCCCAGCGGCATGTCGCGATGCCACTGAGGTTGGGGGAAGGCTGTGTGGGGAGGGGGTGGGTCTGAGATGTCCCCATCCAGAGCTAAAAGTGCAGCTGGCCAGCCTCTTCGAGGATGGTTTTTGAGTGGGTGAAACCCTAGTGGAAAGACAGAGAGACAAGAGCAGAAAGGACAGGCGGGGCCTCAGAGGCACGCCGGTAACCTAACGCCAGAAACAACGCTGCTCTGTGCTGGAGCTAGATAGAAGTGCTTGCCCTTGCTTCAGCGTTCGCCCCCGGCCTCCCGGGACCCTGCTTGGCCCCTTCTTGTCTAGGTGGCCAAGGTTGGAGCAGGCAGTCCTGACCTGGTGAATTGGGGACTGGCAGGCTTAGGTTGGGGGTCAAACTGAGCTGAGGACAGGGCCTGGAGGATTAACCTCAACCAGAGGCCAGACAGTGTCACAGGAGTCAGGCCTACCTACATCGAGGCAATCCTGAATAATGGGGTGAGGTGTGAAAAACTTGAGAGGATGAGGAAGGCTGCCTCTCATAAGGGCTTCTGGATCACTGCTCTCCCCACCCTACCCCCCACCCCTCCGCCATCAAGACTCAGAAAGGAGTGGGACAAGTCAGCCTGAGTCTAAGACTCTAGATTTTAAAAGCAGAATACTCATTGGGGGGGGGGGAGGGGCTGCGTAGGCGGTATAGGCTTCTGGAAGAGGAGACACGTGGTGGGTCTAGCAGTTTTGCCGCTGTAGACAGATGCTAAGTGGAGAGAAAAGGGAATCCTGAAAACACTGAGTACAGGTTACAACCCTCCCCGCTTCAGTGTAGCTTTGCTGTAGGTACAATGAGATGATTTTAGGTTCTGACAGTGAAATCTGGCTTCTAGATCAAGAAACAAGGAGTGGCCTGCGGAAGGAACAAGGCAAAAAACAGGAGCCTGCTGTCCCCCCCAACCCCCCAGTGTCCCTACTTCCTATATCGGTCATTGTGTCCAATTTCCACTTCTCCAGACTCCTGGAGCCTAGGTGGCATTTTTCCTCATACAAGAGAAAAGGGCAGGGCAAAGCCCACACTTTCCAGTAGCCTTGAGAACCTTACTGATGGTCACAAGGACAGGACACATAGCCTAGGAAGGAGGCCTAAGATGGCGGTTTAGAGGAACACAGGCCAGGTGGAGAGTCCCACTGAGGATAGAGCCCGGGAGGAAGTTCCCCCAGGTGGGAGTGGGAGCCATGAGCCTACTCCCCTTTATTCCCACCATCTCCCTCCTTTAGCAACTGGCTAGGATTTCCAGAGACAGAAGACAAAGGGAAGTGCGACTGGGCGGGGAATTCTTTCCAGATGTGTTTGTGGTTTGGCAGTTCAGGGCCAGAGCTCCAAGCACCCCAACTTTGCTGAAGGAGAGAGGGTGGGGGCAATATGCTGACTGGCTAGGGCTGGGGCTTTCGGCCTCCAGCAGACCTTTTTATTCCAGGGGAAGGGCAGACATGAGCAGCTGGGAAGGGACACTGAAGGATGAGGGGGCCTAGGAGGAGGGCTAGCAGAAGTAGACGGGGTAGCCAACTAACAAGGGGGCAGGGCCTAGGGCCTCAGGAGCAGCTCAATGGGAGGAGTTGCCACCATTAAGAGCCCCAAGCCCAACTACTGGCTTTAATTTCCCACTGGGATCAATAAGGAAAGGAATTTCCCGGTGCCTCTGGTCTTTCAATTATAACCAAATCTGCTGCAGACCTGCCCCAAGTGACCCCATTCCTGTGATCACACCACTCTTGGGGCCCCCTCTCCCGACAGAAGTTATAGACACAATAGGGAAGCAGAGGCAAACTGAGGATGGAGTGGGGGACAGACCAGCACAGAGCGAAAGAACATTCTGGTGCTTTGCTCCATTGTGTGGCCAGGAGGAACGCTTAGAGCAGAGGAAGAGAAACTGGCTGAGATGGCAGCAAGGAACAAGTTAGGAGGGTAGACTGTGTACTGTAGGGCTTGCATCCTACCTTCTATACCCCTTCCCTTGAAGCCCTGTGGAGCCATGTGGAGCACGAGGAACCACCCAGTCCATCACAGAAGAGGCCAGTGTTGACTGGGGATAGGAGGAGCAGGAAAGTCAGAATCCCCAGCCTCACCTCCAATCAGGACTACAGAGACTCTGCCAAGGTTGGTACTGGTGAAGGGTTTTGCTGAGTGTGGTATTACTGTCTCTACTGGGTCAGTATTTGTTGACCTAGACTTCCAAAGTAAAAGCCAGCCAGTTTGGGCTGGACACTTCTAGAGGAGGTAGCAGTGGTGTTCTGAGCCAGAAGAAAGGCTGGCTGTTACGCATTAGATTTGTGTCTCCTGAGCCCTTGCACCCTCAGGACTCTACCGCAGAGAGCCTAGATCTACAGCCTAACTTTCACTGTGGTCCTCCATGCAAAAGGGACTCTTTCTTGTACCTCTGCCTGGCTCAGAGACCCAGCTTTTGTCATTGTAGCAGAATGAAGGGCAGTAGAGCCCTAACACTGTGTACGACAGGGTCAGGGACCTAGAAAGGAAGCAACCCACGTGCCAGAAACATTTGGGTGCAGAAGGAAACTCTTTGAGAACCAGGAAAGGAGGACAGAAGACCCTGAAAACCCAAGTTTCCATCCAAAGGCAGAAGATGCTGTGACCTGCAAGGCCAGCCTGGGGTCTGGCAAAGGGAGGCAAAGGTAACCAGGAAAGCAGTACAGGAGGTTGAAAGAAACAATAGGAAAGACTGAGGCAGAAGGAGGGGCTACCACAGGCCAGAAGAGGGTCTGTGCAGCACCCAGGCGGGGCCTCTGTTGTTCTTGGCTCTGCCATGCTTTTCCCAGCTCCAGCTGCCAACGCTCTCCTCAGGGCTGGGCTGGGCTGGGCTGACTGAGCCAGGAAGACAGGAGGGTGGGGTGGGGATGCACTGGCTGTGGACGTGTCCAGACTCAATCTCAGTCCCCTGCTGGGAGACTGACCTGCAGTTACACGTGGGTTGGCTCTATGGTCTGGTTCCTAGTACTGTACCCATCTGCCACAAACACAATGTCCTGCATTCAGCCCTAGCAGCCAGGGTAGTAGTGACAGGGCTGTGGCTATGGGCAAGTTCAACAGGCAGGACAGAGTTTTATGGCACTTGGGGAAAGAGGCCAGTCTGAAAAAGACACATGGCTCTAACAGGCCAGCCTTCTCCAATTCTGCTGTTTGTCCAGGGCACTGGGGCTGGAGAACCCCCAATCCAGCCACCTCCCTGGTCTGCCTTTCCTGCCCCCCGAGAGTAGGAAACAGAAAAAAAGAGTTGGGATCTAAAACCCTCCTCTGATCTCTTACTCCATTGAGATGCTAAGGTTCAGAATCTGGGGTCTTCCCTCAACCCTTGCCACCTTGAATCAGTAGATAAGCAGGATTACAAAACTTTAGGGGTGGAGAGGGCTCAGTGGTAAAGAGCACTTTTGCTGTTCTTCCAGATGACCTGAGTTTGATTCCTAGCAGCCACATGGTGGCACGCAACCTTTTAAAACTCTAGTTCCAGTAGATCCGATGCCCTTTTCTGACCTTCCCAGGTACTAGGCATACATTCAGTATATAATATACATGCAGTCAAGCACATACACATAAATAATAAGGCTATAGATTAAAAAAAAATCAAGTAACTGGTGCCTTAGTCCAAGGCCTTGTTCTTCACCTGACCTCCACTATCTCTAAGAGCAAAGCCAGAGTGAATGAGTGAGCAGGGTGGGGGAGGGGAGGAGGCACCCACACTCACCTAGATCTAATACTACGCTCTGGGCAGCATGAACAAAATGAGGGAAGGCGTATGAAGTGGCAAGTTCTGATTTTCCTCCTTGTGGACACCAGTTTTGGAAAATGTCAGCTGTCAAAGAAAAACTAAACTGCCAACCACCCGAAACCCCTACCTCATCTGGTCTCAGTGTTCCAGGCTGTCTCACTCCCATTGGAGATCAGGCTAAGGCCCGTGTGTTAGCCTAGCAGAGTATGTATGCTACCAAATGATGTCCCTAATTCTTTCCTGCCTAACACTCCTCTACTAACTTGAGCCAAGCCATCTAAGTGGGAACTTTGGAATTAGCAGGAACATTTCCCTGGGGAATCAAAGAGGCTGGTCCTTCCTGGATTTTATGGCTGCCAATCATGCTGTCATTCAGTCTTGGTCTCACAGTTCCCAAGCCTGGTAGTACCTGCTTCCCTGTGATCTGAGTTGTCAGTGGTGGGTCTTCCTACTACACTGGTAGCTGGCCCAGAGCC